ACATTTTGGTTTTTTTACCACATTGTTAGTTTGTTGGTTATTTTGTTATAGATAGAATGGTTGGTTGGTTGGTTGGTTGGTTACGATCAGCTTCGTTCGCAGTAGATTTGCAAGAAATGAACGTCCAAGTCAAAACGAGACACAAATTGCAAAACCGCATCTCTGCTGGAGAATGCATCTACGCTCTTGTCCTATACGCAAAAAGACTTGCGTGATTTATGAGCTACATACATCCTGGTCCTAGATCGCAAATATCTGCCAATTAAGGAAACACAGTCTAAGCGTCTAAGAACTATATGAAGCTACGGGCCGGTATTTCGTTTTACAGCTATCCAGCCACAGTCCCACACTCCACCCTGCTGACCGCAAAGTTTCTGACTCCAATTTTTATTCACTTCTCTCATCTGCCCTACAATAACATATACGTAGCTTACCATTGCACCGAACATTCTAAACCGAGGTTCTAATTTAAAACTTTAATTGATTCCACTTACGCTGCTACCAAAATTCACTAACGAATGATATTAAATACCACGTTGTGATATATTACATTACATATCCAGGCGTTCTTTGCAGTGTATCTGCGTAATAGAGAGATCATGTACGTACCTTTTAGAAATGAAACCATTTCACGGATTTCAATAAACGTTTTTATAATGTGCACACACAAAAGTTTCCAGATAATTAAACGTCAGTTCGTATTGGACCATTGTAACCCAAACTTTTCCATTTCTCGTAAACTGACCATCACATAAATTATTAATAAATAAATCCATGGATTTGAATCATTCTTGATAAGGGGACAGTCACTATCAGATAAAAAGCATAATTACTGTTTTTACAAAAGCCCGACATCGATCCCTAACCTGACCCAGATGAATCCAATCCAGTCCATCCAATTTCTTTCCAGACCATCACCACCTTATCCTGAAATCCAGACCAACATAAATTGTTACACGTCAGAGCCAATATTATGCTGGAATACCCCGATCATGTAATTAAATTCTTTTTTGGAACGACAGACACAGAAGAGCTTAGTTTGCTTGATGGTTACAGCTACCCGGCACTGTTTCACAGAATTCAACGACATTCCACTCCATAACAATTGTAGAATCTGCATATTTGGAGGTGAAAGATAACTGCTACATTTACTGTCTCTATAAACTGAGACAGCATACCGACTTGGGTGAATTTGTGTTGAATTATCTGCATACCAGTTTCATCTAGCGTAGACCACTAATTAGTGGTTAATTACTCTGTCATTAATTATCTACCTGAACTAACAGTTGGAAGCAAGGCCCCTAAGATCCATGCTAAAATGTGTGAAAAGCACCAAATAAGAGTGGGGCTTTTTGTACAACATCATGGCGGGTTATTAAGAGACATTAAATGTCCGAGTACATCTTATTCATTGTCCACAGAATTTTAATTTCTTCCTTCCATAGTCGTTCTCTTCTTATATCCTTAGTTTGTTTCTTACTTATTTTACTTCATACTTTTCCGTTTCCTCTTTATTTATATTAACTCTAATGCAATGGAGTGCCAATTATCCGAGGCACAAATATCCGTAGTCTGAGATTGTCTCTAAATAAACCAACAGAAAATTTAAAAAATTACAAACTTTCTGAAAAAAAATAATGTAAAAAATAATGTTTAGTATGATATATATGCTTTTTCTGAACACACACGTTTCTATATACAGACATATATAAATTCCTATTTTGGTTACACGGATAATGATAATTCTAATGAAACTTAATTTGCAATAACATTATTTTCCGATTATCCGGGCCCCTACTTCCCCCAGGTACCATTGATAATCGGAGCTATACTGCAATGATAGACTATACTGAGGCATAGTTGTCTGACCGCTTCTGTCAAATAGCAAAATGTCATTTCAATTTCACGCTTCAAAAATCCGGTGACAGTTCCACCAAATACTACTAGTTCGTACTCTACGATTACATTTAAATATCTCTAATCATTATTAATTATTTACTGCGTCAGAACATTTTTACGATTAATTTGCGTAACGATTTGATTCCTGCTCCTTCAACTCTTGTTTTATATGAGCGTTTTTATAAAATACGACGGTCAAGTCAACTGACCAAAACAAAAATTTTGTCTATTAACTTCTCATCAAATTATTTTTTTTGCTACTGCTCATTATTAATAGACACATAAAAATTATAAGATCAGGAAATTTATAACGTCTGTTCTCCAACAATTATCATTACGTTGATTAAGAAAGATAATTACACCAAAAAAACTAAAATCCTGCTATATGACTCTATGGAGGAGATTCCTTCTACAGAAGCTGATAGTCGCTGACCTTTCAAGAAATGTACCTTGTCTTGTGTGGAACCTGAAAATACAGCATCGTTTCAATGTTGTCTTCTGGGTTGTAAAACTATATGTATTTGTAGGTAAATACCGACGTTTCGGTGAAAGGACTAGACATTGAGAAAATTAAATTAAATCCAAACATAAGCATTTCCTTTAAAATGAAATATAATATCATGCTCCAATCAACACCTACGACTAATTACATATTCTAAGTAGTATCTTGCCTTCCGGTTTGTCGACTAAAATGTTGTATCATTTTACCTTTAATAACCCTACAGAAACCTGTAAGGAGTAAAAAGGGGAGTGCTGTGGAACTCTGAGTTGGATTTTATGTATCTGTAAAGAGACGTTTTTTATAGGACTTTTACCAATTTTGCTTCCTGGATTCTATCCTGTGACCCTTTGATGGTTTTCTGTCTTGTCTCTGAAAACCATTTGATTTTCGGTTTTCTGTCTTATAGACTGGAACACAGTTGATCTCCCAAGAGATTCTTCTTTTACGATCCACCTCATTTCAGTTTTCTAGCTGAGAGCAAATGACAAATGCCTAACGATTACCGAATCCGGGTTAAGGTTGACGTAAAATCCGTTTCCTTGACAAAGAATTCACGTGTGTACCACAGAAGGACAGAGTCGTATTAAAATTCCATCTGGTCGAATTATCTGCTGCTATATACTATAATATGTATATTGATGTTCGATTAGGGATGGTCCGATTTATTCTCCTGTAAGAAAGCATTAGAAGTGTGATGTACAAAGAGATAAATACACCTACAGAAAATTCATAGCGCTGACATTCATATAACAAGAATTTATATTGTAATCCAGTGAAGCAAATATATGTTTTGAATACACCCTTTGCGACTTTTCATATGTAGTAGGTAATAATATGCCTTTATTGCAAATTTTTGTCGCAAAACTGATGTAGATGGAATCATAAATTATACTACTTTGTATTTCGTCATTATGCAGCATAACGAAACTGCTTCAAGATGTTACATTTATATTCTGCCATGCTATAAATTATTAAATATAACAGGCCAGGTCTTTAAAGTTTGGTTCTTAACTTTATGTTATTCGGTTCTATTGAAACGATGTGAACAAAGACCTCTAGTTAGTAAAACTGGTCACAATCCGTTGAGTAGTTTCGGATAATTTACTACCCATTGTCGAAAGACTGTTGACTATCTGTATTCCACACTGGATGGCGTCCGAAACTTTTTGACCTTGGTCTCCTAACCTTTACCAAATCGAAAAAGTTCTGATTTTTTGTTACAGATTTAAATTCTATTTTCAACCATTAATACCTTTGAGTTTTATATAAATTTCTGGGTGACGGTCCGTTTTTAAGTACTCGGGACGTTTCGGGCTCAAACATCGTCCTAAAGACTGGTTATACTGATTTATTCTGTGGTTTTAATCAGTCCTTCCAGGCAAGTTTCTGAATAGTATCGCAGATTAGACTACCATTGCTTCCTTGCATATCCTTTCTAACTTATTATTCATTAATCAACCCATCATTACACGCGTTTTGCATGATTTACATTAAATACATATTTATACACACACATACATATATGCACACGTGCATACGAACAAACACGTGTGTGTTCACTCTGTAAACTTTCTGCAAGAATATCTAAACCGTAATGTCAGTCAGACAAACGCTTTATCATACTGCTAATCCGCTTTAACGACGACATTCCTTTCGTATTTCTGCCCACAGACAAATTTACAGACAGAAGGCCCACCGTAACAATACCCCGTGTCTCAAGACTCCCCTCCTCCAACGACCAAGCTCAGGTCTGATGGTATATTAAACACTTTAAAATATTTATACAGCTAGAAACGGAAACGGTGTATCTGACAGAAACAATCCCTAATTGCATTTTAGCCCCCCCCCCCAATATTCTACACAACCATATATATATATATATATGTTATATGTTGACATTTCACCTCTACAAACGAATCGATATATGAATTAGCTTTGCATTCGCTTCTCTCAATCTGAGTGAAATTAATTTGCAGTTCACACAATTTCATTTCGTAGTAGATGGTTCAAATGATAAATTGACTAATGTTCTATTCCTCATGTTCTAAGGAAAAAAATTTTTGAATAACAATTTAACACAAGACATAAGGGAGCAATCCCGTTTTGTAAGCGTTCTTCGATATTACTTCGTAAAGAAGAGAATTAATGGATGCCACAGTATAAAAAACAAAAACAAATAGTTTTAAAAAAATCAGCCATCTACAAACAAATTAACGGATTCGATTAAATTTGTCGGGCGAGATTTATTTTGATCTTGTATGGACGCTTTTTTTCATTAAGCTCACATCAGCTAATCAGTTCTTTCTCTTTCTCTCTCTCTCTCTCTCCCTCTTTCACAGAAAGTATAACATACAAACAATGTTGTACGTGACATAATAAATTAAGGTCTGTAACTTTTATTGAACGATTTTTCGATGCCAGATTTCAAGACGAACCACGCAACCAATCAGAGGCAGGCTTTATTCTACCTCTCCGCTTGCATCCCAATTCTGGTACCCCTGGGATGACACTGTCTATTATACGTTGCAACAGCATGGCATGGGGAGCTACCCTGCCATCTACAGAATGAAAATTGAATTAAACGGTTACCATGGAAACAGAGGCTTCAGGTGGTGGTTTATTTCTTCCCTTCCATAAACACTGCCACAATTGTTACTAATAGTAGCATGTCATAGTAAGCTGACCTGCCACCTGCTGACTTGAAAATGAATTAAATTTATAACCTTACACAGTAACCTTAGTGACAGTGGCTTCAACCATCAGCTTTGATGTACAATGTTGTGCATGTATTGCAGTTAAAACAAAAATAAGCTCTGTTTGTGTGGAGTTTGTAATTCCGGATTTTTTTATGCTGAAAAACAAAACAATTACCACTACTACTGCTGATTTTGTTTGTTAATATATCTGTAAAGAACTGAATCATTATCAAAAACAATAAGTGATGCAAAATAACTCGGATTTCAAGATGACTTCTGGGATGTTGCGCATTGTAGTCTAGTAGAAGTTAATAAACTTTAATAACCGTACTTATAATAACAAAGATTCGATCATAAGCAATTCAGCCTCGAATTTTTCCGTGTGCTGTGTACTGCTGTATTACTCCGCGTTCATTATTTACAAAGCGGACGCTTGGCCCTCGGACAAAGCTTCATTCTTCGTTGTAGCGAAAGTAATGTTCGTAAATTGAAAAATGGGAATAAATTTTCATGGTTCGTTGTAGCTATAATTCATAACTTTGAAGTTTGTAAATGCTGTGCTCTGTAATATGAACAGTAGATCTAAGCACCACGCGAAAATATTCATAAGGAACTGTGATGCCAAATGAGCTGGTACCATAGCTTATAAAGAGTACAAGAATAGAAAGAAAATTACAGGGTGTATACCAAAACATCTTTAAACAGAACTCATCTTTCACTACACCGCAACTGAAACTGAAGGAAAAGTTTGAAAATCAACTGTGTAGCGAGGCAACCAGGTCAGTTCATGTTAGTATCCTGTGAGTTAAGTTCTAATTCGGTTGTACAACTCACCAGAAAGTAATATTTTATTTTCTGAGGTAAAGAATCGGTTTCCTCATTGCACATAGATTTAAGAAGCAACTGAAGACAAAATGCAGTTTCCAGTTGCCTTCATATACAACCGGCCTAAGACTAAGTTTTGATATTCGTCAGTTGTTGTCACGCGTCTTTTAAAGTGTAAAAGGACACGCGGAGTCTAAATCGACTGCTCGTGTGATGCCGGAGTTTCAAAAACAAAGCAATCGCCATCTTGATGTTGAAGTGGCTAAGTGAGGGGTAAATTAGCTGTCAGCCATTTTGCCATGTAGTAGAGATTCCCGTATCTCTCAACGTCACAGTTGTAGACACAGCGGGCTTTGGCTGATGGAAATAAATGAATTTGTTGACAGATGACTACAGTTGGTTATATAGTCTACGCAGTAAACACTAAGACGGTGAATACGAGCGTCCTTAAATCGTAATACATATTACAAATAAATATTATATACGTATTTATTTTCTGAATCATACTGCCAACCCCTACCAACTCTTAACCGGTCACAAACCCCCAAGACGGATCTCGAACCCACAACCCCGAAATTAAGTCTCATGTTGTATCGACTAATGGCCTGTTGTAATACAACGTACCTGAAATATGGATATACATCCACGGTATGACTTTTCACAATCACACAATGAAAATATTAAAAATGTACTAGGTTAAATTCAGTATATGTTTTTAGATCAGTTAGTACATCACGAGGGCAGCGCTGTGTCGTAATGCATGGGTCTAGTGGAAGTGACTATATATGTATTCAGACTGTCACCACTGAAGTCAATAAACCATGTAAATTAAATAGAACGTCAGTGAGGGGATTGAAGCCGGAAAATGTCTCTACAATTTCACCTAAAATTATTAAATTTCCTCAATAATTAAATCCATGTTTTAAAATGTATCACAAATAATATGTCGATATTATTTGAGTGATCAAAGGGACTTTGTACCTCAACAGATTACAGCCCAAATAAAAGAAAAATCATAACAGTGCCACAAATGTGAAATATCAATGTTCTTTATAGATGATTATGTCGATAGATGGAAATTGATATAGGCCTACTAATATCCATTCAATTAATACTGGGCGTCTAAAATTATATCACCCACTCTAATTCAATGAAATGTGTACGGCCTGTTATAAAATTTTGAAAGCATACTAGTCTTTTTAATTAATGTTCTTTTACTTATTTCTTTTTTATCCTTATATTTTATTACTTTAACATTCTTAGTTCTTATATTTTATTCATTTGTCATTATTTTTCTTCTTTCATTTATTGTTTTTTACATTTCAATTCCTTTATTTATTCCGATCACAATGTCTGAGGTGTACCTGAACGTCGTATGGCTGAGCGAGATATCGACTCAGAAATCTGATAACTGCAGAGACTCTATTTCGATGTAACCAGTGCCACGTGAGGGGAAACGGACCCGTGAATAGATGGATGAGATGGAGGTAAAAGAGCCTCTCTATATCTGTCTTGTTCGTTGTCAGTGCACTGCCATTTGGCTGTCAATTCAACGCGAGCAGCCATGTTGATGCCAGTGAATTGGTAAATCCACTCTCAGGTCCCACACGCTCCATGTTTTGAAGATCAAGAAAAATGCAACGCTTCTGAATTTCTCAACGATAATAGATGTTACGTACGTGAAACAAGACAGTTACGGAACGGATCATTTGTTATACACTTCTGAAATATTTTAACATGCCTATTGATGGATATTTGTTCCAATGTAAAAGTATAGAATGTTCTATAAATAAATAAACATACACTAAAGGAAATATAAGTTATAAATTCGAACTGTTCGCTACATTTTAAATATAGTGTTCCACAAATAAATATGAATATACAATAAGAAATATATGTTGGGTAGTTTATAAATTCTAAGCATGTGATTATAGGTGCGTGAACTTGACCTCCCCGTGACGTCAACTTTACGTACATTTCGGCAAAAATAAGCATGAGAAAAATAACCCTGAAATCATCTTGAAATCGACACACCCTTGGGCTGATACTGTTGTGATCCCTAGTATGACCTTGACCTATCTGTAACTCAGTCTAAAAACAAAACAAGTCTTTGACGCTTATAACTTGAACCGGATATCTTTCTTCTTAATTCATAGAACTCAGCTCGTTGTAGTATAGTGGTAAGCACTTCTTCGTATATAAAAGGTCCCAGGATCGAATCTCGGTCCAGAAAATCGGCTAAACTGACCGAGTTGGTTTCCCTGAATTTCTTCAGTAAATTGGTGTGTTAGCACCTTCAAACAAGCCACGACTGCTTTCTCCCATGACCATGTCAACCTTTCACAATCATTCTAAACTATTCAGATTATAAAGGTCTTGAAATAAACCAAGAATCGAACATTTCTTCGAAGTTAAAGGGGTTTCATTGATAGTCCTCTGAATACGGTTCGCCGTGCTGTTACGGCAACATCTGCGTCTCTTGTGTATGGCATATTGCCTAAACGACTCTAGTAAGGGGGTCTTGTTCTTTCATTTACTGAACAGCCACACTATACTTGTATTAAGCGCATATGCTTACAGAACTCTCATACATTTGTTGGTGGGTTCAAATTCCGATCACGACATAGATATTTGTACCCATTTCATTGTGTTGTGATATGCTGTCTTTTTATGGTGAAGGTTGTGGTTGTGCAGTAATTTGAACCCCCATTCGAGTCTTGTCTAAACAACGAACCTCGTGGAGTAGAGGCCATCTTGAGAAACTGTTCGGTACAGTGGTACACAGACAGTTATTAAGAAACGCGTACAGAATATACTGAGATAAACCCGAAATAAAAAGCAGATGAAAGGAAGTTAAAGAACCGGTCTTTTCATGCTTAAGATAAAATCTTTCAAGACCATGACAATTCGAAAAATATTAATAACCAATCGAAATGGGTAATATGGGTGAGACATGTAGCACCCGTGATGGAAATGTGAATTGCTTTCAAATTTTTAGTTTTAAAAATTGAAATATATATTTGTTTATGCATTTATTTATGTATGTATTTGAAAAAGCGTCAAATTAAATAATTGAAAAGATTATGAAGGGAAGTGGTCGTGAGATAATTTCAGGAAAAATCACAAAATTCTCTTATAGGGACTTGGTAAAACCAAGAATAACCACAAGCCAGCAAAATCTGTCTCCGGGCCGAAATTAGAAACATGTTTCAGAGGTCCTTGCTGCCTCCATCATCGTCCTGAAGATGGAGGAAGCAAGGACCTCTGTAACGTCGGTAAACTTCAACCAGACTAAACAGCGCAACATCCGAGAAGACTCTTCGGACTCACCTCTGTAAGGACCTGAAGTCTCACTGGGAAATTTCGTGGTTACGTTTGTGACCAATCAGTTCCTCAAGACGGTATTTCGATGGTTAAAGGTAACTCAAGCGATCGAATGTCTGCAACTTGATTCGAATAAGACAACCTGTGTTAACTTCCCCTTCTGTTACGGAAAACTCATTTTGCGAACTGACATCCATCAGCAATAATTACTAATAGTCGAAATAATTAATAAACGAAACTCTCTTCCATCGCATTAAAGATTTAAATTTGCCTCAACTGTGAAAACGCACACGAGAAATAGATTATATTTATTAATTTTAATGGTTTCCACACTTTGACGTATCATAATTATCGACTGGTTTAATAACACGGGTATCCACTTCAAACAAAAAATATAAGTGATTTCAATTGAAGATAACTCGTATTATTTGAAATAAATCTACGCTGAGAGCCATAAAATGTTTTAACTGCTTACCACATATAAGCAAATTATTCCAAATCCCCTTTATTTGCAGAACAAATCAAAATATTTACATAAGACAGCAGACGATAGTAACGAAATTCACTGAGCAGATCAACAAATTTCCAGATTTCTATAGAACCCGAAGATCTGTTGTAGTGATAGTCCGGCCATACCCCATATATTGATCCAGCTGAAAGAATTCCACGTACCTCACGCTCCATTTATTTAAGGTTCATTTTAATAATGATCATCCATCTATGACTGGTTTAGCAAGAAGTCCCTTTCCATCAGGTTTTCTAACTTACAGACACATATAATTCCTATTACAGTCTAATGATTTGATTTAACATGTTGTCTGTAAATACATGACGTATACATAAATGTGAGTTTACTAAATTATCTTTCACAGTCTCCCACCCAGAGTAGCTCCTGGTTGATGCCTGGTACAGCCTTTTTCACAAAATGTTTCGTTGCATTACACGACATTTTACTCCTTTCATTTTTACAGATCTGGTATCGAAAAGGACTAGACCTATAATATTTGCGTGTATTTTCCATTTACTATTCACTAATTTCCCCCACCTTTCTAAGAAAGCTTATTTTATTTCAGTTTTTCTTAATTGCTTTCTTAACAACAAGTTCCACGAGTTTCTCACGTTTAATATTTGTTCACAAAATTTCAGTTACTGCTATTTGACATACATGAAACGTCTTGATACTTCAGGTTCTCACAACACCAAATTTGAATACGACTGTATTCTGGGTTGAGGCGCCATGTAGTCTGGTAGAATTTAACCAACGTTTCAGAGATTTTTTCTGCCTTCATCATCAGAGCGATGATAATGGAGGCAATAAGTACGTCTGAAATTTCTGTAAACTTCTACCAGACTACACGGCGCTACAACCCAGAAGACAGTCATCGTCGTCATACGTATAAAGTCGTTTGTGTCTGAGTACAGGGGGAAAAGGTCGTTCCGATTCAAGTCTGTACCACGCCATATCTTTACATTCATTCCTGATCTGCGTTTCGTACAGAGTTCTCTTCTCCAATTCGTTGAAACACTAGAGCAGAAAATAAGTAAAGACATTTCCAATATTCTGAGTAACATGCTACGACTCTCAATATAGTTATATCTCGGGTTTGTACGTATTCTATTTACATTTCTCGGTTTATCTGCACAGATGTAGGTATAGTCTATCCTAGTAAGTTCCTTCGTAAACCCTCCTGACTATTCATTTCACATAGACTTTCACTATATCTGTGCAAAACAAGGATCACAGACTGAACCAGTACTAACAATAATTTCACCCTTCCTCGTAACGTTTCCTAATTAAACTTCGACCGTATTATTAAGTTTAGACTACATCAAACAAAACCTACCGTAAATAACATTTATTTTCTTCAGCGTCAATTAATTCCCAGTGCACAGCATCAACTCTATAGCCTCATCTTGCATTTTGTAAATTCTTCTATGGTTTTACCTTTTGTTTTATGTGGATTCGAAATTTTCAACAATGGCTGCAGTACCTTACAAAACCGAAATAAAACCGTGGATATTCGAAAGCTCACATAGCGAAAGCGCGTGTTATGAGTCACATTATCTTAATTTATTAAATTTTCCCTCTTTTTCGAAGGTTTTCTTCAGATTATGATTTCATGTTGTCCATTTTTGTTGCTTCGTTAACCTCACAAGTTTGTCCAATAAATTTCATGTTAATTTTGGTCTGTTCCATTCGAAAGACTTAAACTGTTAATATTTGTTTAAATCTTATCAGTCTATAGTTTAAATGCGTCATGTTTGTGTTTTAAAATTCAAATATATAATATAATTCAAGTCTATACACAAACTTTAAATTGTTGATGTTAAAATTTAAAATTAATATTGTGAAAAACTTGCATTAAAAATATAGAGTAGTTTTAAAGATAAAAAAAACTTAAGATGATGCTATGCATTAA